AAAGGGTTATATATTATATACTTTTTTGTGCTTTGAGATGCCTTTGTCTATTCAATCTGCCAAGTCACCCTATGTCTGGCCAAGGGCAATCCATCCTTTTATACTCCAGCATTTGTAAGTTAAGTGGAGCATCGCCGGGCCTTGCGCTCCTAGAGCCAGAATTAGCAACCTATAACAAGACAATCTGCATTTATCACTCATGTTCTGCTAATCACAAACCTGGTTTCAAAACTGCTCAATAGGTGGAGCGATGGAGGGGCAAGAGCAGGGGCCTAAAGAGAGAGGTGGCACATATCTTGTGAGGAGAAACGCTACCGAGGTTTGCAATGTTCTGCACGAACTAGATGATTAATAAATATAGGAGAGGCTAGCTTTGACAAGAAGCTGGACAAGTTTCAAGTGTGTTTAAAAACCTTTATCCATTTTAACTAGCATAAACAAAAACAGGCAGATTCATTTTGGTATAATCACTCTTGTCTTTAGAAACTACCAATAAAGGTCATGTTTGAAGAATTATGTCATAGATTTATCTACTAGGCTGCTTGAAAGAGAAGGAAATAGAATGGAACAGGTTAGAATCGTCCCATAAACAGCCAAAAGGCGGCAGGTAAAAAAACGGCAGTTGAGCCTTGCCGGTTTACTAACTACCTAGGTAATATGGTACCCACATGAGCAACTAAGCGGAAGCAAGATCGCCGAATAAACCGATGCTATTTGCCAGGGAATAAGCATGGGAGCTTAGCTACATGTGCTCTGATTTTGTTTGTGTCTAGATAATGCTAGTAAAGTCCCCGAAAGTATGAATCTAAAAAAATCCTTCAACTATACGCACCCAATTTATGCAATGTGCAGCCAAGTTGCGTTCAAAACCGCAAATGCTTTCTATGGAAGGTGGAAACCTTGGAAGAGAAATCGACAACTGACACTACCAATCCGAGCTAGATCCACTTCAAGATTTTTCGCCGGCGCAGAAGTCCCGTTTGGCTGCGTGGTTGATAGCATGTAGCAATAGTCCTAATGGTACCTATACTAAAACGAAACTATTCCTTTCTGTATTAAAGTCTAGAAGCCTGGTAAATGCCCCTTGGGCCTGCACCCCGGAATTATCTAGGTAGTAGTAATCGTAAAGTAGCTTACCAAAGAACTCCGGATCCTACCCTAGATAAACAAGGGTTGTGCCTGTCTGGCTCTGCAAAATCTTATTAATGATAGCTAATTCATCCAAAACTTCTTTATTCGATCTCAAGAGCAAAGTGGCTATGCTACCAAGAGCACGTTTATCAGTTACGGACAAGTAGCTTTGGCCATCAAATGGCCTGATCGACGTATTTGCCAGCAGGGATATATTCCCGGGAGGCTCGAATTATTAATATCCCGTGGCTCAAATGCTCACGCTTTGTAGTTCAAGTCCTTTAGGGTTTTGAATTATGAGAATTGCTTATACGTACTTGCTCTGAATGTTTACACGACTTGTCCAGAACTTACAGAACTTAGACTACTTAATGCCACTCTTGTACGGAATAATCCTCCATCGGATCACAGAAGATGGATGGCACACTAGCAAAGAGCTAAATTAGCATGCGCGGGTGTTGATCGAAAGGGGGCAAGCCCCGATGCATTATAAATCCACTGTTAACTAGCACTTGTGATGAGCCAGCAACTAATGTGTACTACTCGGCTCATCCCACTTTCATGCTGGCATTTTTATCATGTTTTGTAGTCAATCTATCATGGACACTTGCAATAGTTATTCACTAGCACCGCTTTTTCCTATGCAATCCAGACTTCTTTTTTGAATATCTGGAAGTTTGAGTGCTTGCGATTCTCAAATTTAATCTCTGACGCTGCCGTCCTCGGTACTCGGCCTGTTTGATGCTATGGATCCCATCTGTCTTACTAATTCACGTAGATAGTATCTAGCGCAAAGAAGTAGATGGATGGAGCTTTAATATTGCTCGGACAAACAACGGAGCACGCCTTTCGGGGGCAATGAGGGTTAAGTCGGCTATTTTGCTCTGTACAGATAGATTGATTTCAAATCCTTCAATTATTTAAAAGGATTTGCTTTCTGAGCGGAGATACGCTCACCATACAAACCATCAGGCCATTAGTCTGCGCGTAGAGGATCCTAAGAATATTAAGGCACGCAATCAAGTATAAATAAATGGTCTCGGGCAAAAATAGACGATAAAGCGAACTCGTCAACTGTCCATATTTTTCCACGACTCGTACACAAGGTTACATACAGTCCCTGAAACCACAAATAACTCAGCTCAAATAAAACAAGAACTGCAAAACTCAGTTGCCGCAATCATGGTAAACTTCCGCATCGACGTCGTCTCAGACACAGTCTGCCCCTGGTGCTACGTTGGCCGCAAGCAAGTCCAGCGAGCCCAGCAGATCTGGCAGCAGCGCTACCCTTCTTCCACCGACACCTTTTCGGTCAAGTACGCGCCCTACCAGCTCAACCCCGATTCGCCCCGAGGCCCTGGCAACAGCTTCGACAAGCACGAGTACTACCTGCAGCGCTTCGGCCCAGAGCGCACCGCCATGATCCACGAGCGCCTCAGCGGCGTGGGCAACGCCCTCGGCATCAACTTCAAGTTTGGCGGCAGACTGGGCAACTCGCGGGACTCGCACCGCCTGGTTCACCTCGCCAAGAGGTTCGGCGAAGAGACGGAGCTCAAGGTCGTTGACGGGCTCTTTGCCGCGTATTTTGAGAATGAGAAGGACATCACGAGCTATGAGACTCTCAAGGACGTCGCCGTGGGAGCTGGAATCTCTGAGGCTGACTTCAACAAGGCCATCGTGGAGAGCGACGAGGGCGGCAAGGAGGTTGACGAGTTGGCTGGAAGTGCGAGATACAGGGGCATCAGCGGCGTGCCGGATTACACGATCCAGGGCAAGTTCAAGCTGAGTGGCGCTCAGGATGCGATGGAGTTTGTCAACGTCTTTGAGAGAGTCAAGGCTCAGGAGCACGCGTAATGCATAAATTAGGGGGGAAAAAAATAAGAAGATGGAAGCGTAAGTAGTTGAGAAGACTCCTTCATGTTACTAGAGACCAATACTATATCATCCTTTTAATTTCCAATGTCTTCGATATGATCATCAAGGGTATATCCAACAAGCTAGCAATCTCAGATCTATCTAATCATCTATCCTTGCTCCGAAACACCAATTCGGCCCTCTTCTCCAGCACATTCTCCCATACTCTCCTTTCCCTCAGTCCCGGCATGTAAAACAGTACGCCAATCTCTTGACTCGTCCACCAACTTGCTCTATCCATGTTTCCTGAACCTAGCATGAGATACTCTCCATCCACCATTGTCATCTTGAAATGGCTAAAGACGGGCTCATCTTCAAGCTTCGCTCTGTCACCGAGCTGCTTATAATAAAATATCTCTAGATGCCCGGGAGATACTAGCTGAGCTTCGGGGTCGCGATTCTGAGTGCGGCGCTTACACAGAGCTTGGTACTTTTTAACAAAGCGGCGGAGACACCATGATGTAGTTGTCCCAGCGGTAATGAGCTGCTCAATCACCATCATATTGCGCCCCGTACGGACTTGGACGTTGACTCCTCGAGATAAGGCTTGTAGTAAGGCTTCGATAACCGGCCATGAAGTGAGATTTGGCGTAACAAGGTGGATGTCGTGATGAGCATTGGCAAAAAGAGTGAGCAGCGCGGCGTTGAGAGGAGTCATTGGCGGATTAGATTGGGAGAAGAAAGGGAAGAAGAAGAATTTGAATCGAGGATTTCGATGATGCGGTGACGGTAAGAAGATGGTCGGAGTTGGAGCAACAGCGGTGAACTGAATGCATTGTGTTGCCGAGCGATCATCGTCGTCGCCCTCGGTAAGCGGTGATGAGCTTGAGGTTTCGACTAGCAGACCTTCTCCGTCCGCGCCTTGAATCGCGCCTCTATTTTCTGCCTCTCTTCTTGCAAGCTCAATGTGATCATTATCATGTGGTTTTGTCATATCAACTCTTGCGCCCCAAACTCGGGCATGAAAAGCCAGCAGCCTATCGACAAACTGGCCCTCAAGCTCCACGCAGCCTTCAAACCACCGCTCCCAGCTCACATTGCAGCTCGGAATCCACGCCTTGGTTTCATCGATGATGACATATTTCGGGTGCATCACGCTCAGCGGCGTGAAAAAGAGGCTCTTGACCGTCATCTCGATGCCCCCCTTTCTCAACGCCTCCTCATCCGGCAAGCCCAGTTTCGCCCATCGCGAAGGGGGATACACGCACCCTTCAGGCGCTGATGTATGGAACAGCTTCTGGAATAGGCCCCAAGACGAGAATCCAATGCTCACGCTGAGAGTAGTCAGACTCTCTCCCGATCTTGAACGCGCTTCGGCAAGCTGGAGGAGAGTCTGGCGGATGCCATCGAGAGAGGGCGATGCGGCCCAGTAACAGGTGACGAAATGGATTGAGTGTTTGGCAGACGCAATGGCGGGCAGAATTGCGCGTGTAAATATAGAGTGGCCGGTGCCCACGTAGAGCAAATTTGGCGTGCTGGTCGTCAGGAGAGAGTCGATGGCGTCGGCGCTGTGATAGTTGGGAGCATCGCGAGAGCGCTCGGTTTGGTGAGAGAGGAGCAGGTCCTTCCACGGCGTGACAAATGAGGAAGGGAATTGCAATGGCTGAGACATGGACAAGATGGATGAAGAGTTGAAAAGGCCAAGAAATTAAGAAAAAATAATGATATATAAAGCTATGTGGGTAATTGAGAATGAAAAAAAAGAAAGTTGGATGAGTTCTCGAGAAGCTTATACTTGAGGCTGACGATTGTCTCAAGGACGTAGCAGCACAGCCACAGCCTGGCGTCATTGAAATCGTGGTTTCAGATGAGTGTGCAAGTAGCACCTATGTATAATCAAAAGTAAATATGTATGCGACATGTATTGAATGTATTGAACGTATAAGAAATCCAACAAAGAAGAAAAAAATAAGAATAAAGGCACCTGTGCATCTGAAAGAAAATGCAAAAAGAAATGTCCTCGGTGAGGCTCGAACTCACGACCTTCAGATGGCCCAGACTAATGTCTAGATCATATAGATGTTTCAATATGAGACTGACGCGCTAGCCAACTGCGCCACGAAGACTTGTTATTGAATGACCGGGGCTTGGAAATTGACTATGAGCGTTTCCTGATTCCCGGCCGCGAATTGCCTTTCTAGAGTCGACCTTTTGCAGTGCTCGATGCCGTGTCAATTATCAAATGGCCTGTATTGATAACATTTGTTTTCATAATAAATTCTCTGGGGCTTTAGTAGTTACCCGTATCGTCTTCATTATCCTCTATAGTGTATTTGGTGTAATAAGCAGTAGGTATACCAGTATGCAGCCACATGCAGAGGCCCATGTAAGCGCAGAGCTTCAGAAGACCAGTGCTATTAGTCCAGGGGTCTGCAGCAGTCAGCACCACTGTAAATGTCCGCTTCGGTGCTGTAATCACGCGCCTTGGCGGGGCTCCAGCACGCTTTTGCACCTGCAGCTCCCCGAGACACGCGCACTAGTCAGCTCCCAGCCGAACCGCAGTCGCAGTCGCAACCTCGTCTCGACAAACCACCAGCAGCCACCAGCTCGTGCCAGAGATTCGGGCCTCTCTTTCTTTTCCTTCTTTTCCTTCTATTTCCTCTTTTTTGTTCTCGCTCCGCCACGATGCTCTCCGGCGTGCTCATCTTCAATCAAAAGGGCGAAAACCTCATCTTCCGCGCCTTTCGCAACGACTGCCGGCCTCGCCTTGCCGACGTCTTTCGCATCCAGGTCATCTCCAACGCCCAGGTGCGGTCGCCCATCCTGACGCTCGGAAGCACGACCTTTAGCCATGTCAAGCACGAAAACATCTACCTGGTGGCCATCACCAAGAGCAACGCCAATGCCGCGCTGGTCTTTGAGTTCCTCTACCGGCTGATCCAGCTGGGAAAGGGGTACTTTGGCAAGTTTGACGAGGAGGCCGTCAAGAACAACTTCGTGCTGGTCTACGAGCTGCTGGATGGTGGGTTTTTCTTCCCAAAAGCAGCCTGATATGGGCACTGGCACTGGTGCTGACCCTGGATCTCTAACAAACAGAAATCATCGACTTTGGCTATCCGCAAAATACCGAGACGGACACATTAAAGATGTACATCACCACCGAAGGCGTAAAGTCCGAATCGCGCCCCGAAGACACGTCCAAGATCACAATGCAGGCCACCGGCGCGCTGTCATGGCGCAAAGCAGATGTAAAGTACCGCAAAAACGAAGCTTTTGTCGATGTCATCGAGGATATCAACCTTCTCATGTCCGCCACTGGCGCAGTACTGCGAGCGGATGTCACGGGGCAAATTGTCATGCGCGCCTATCTATCCGGTACCCCTGAGTGCAAATTTGGCCTCAACGACCGATTGCTGCTGGACAACGACGGGCTGCTAAGCCTCCCCAGCGGAAACAAAATGGGAACCAAGGCGACCAAAGCGGCGGCGGGAAGCGTCACGCTGGAGGACTGTCAATTCCACCAATGCGTCAAGCTGGGCAAGTTTGACTCTGACAGAATCATTAGCTTCGTCCCCCCTGACGGCGAGTTCGAGCTCATGCGCTATCGCGCCACAGAGAACGTCAACCTGCCGTTCAAGGTGCACGCCATTGTAAACGAGGTGGGCCGCACAAAGGTCGAATACAGCATCGGCGTCAAGGCCAACTTTGGAGCCAAGCTCTTTGCTACCAACGTCGTCATCAAGATCCCTACGCCTTTGAATACTGCCAAGATCACCGAGCGCTGCACTCAAGGAAAGGCCAAGTACGAGCCCAGTGAGAACGTGATTGTCTGGAAGATTGGCAGATTCACTGGCCAGAGCGAATACGTCCTCACTGCCGAAGCTAGCCTCACCAGCATGACAAATCAACGCGCGTGGAGTCGGCCACCCCTGAGCATGAACTTTAGCTTGTTGATGTTTACCAGCTCGGGTCTGTTGGTACGCTATCTGAAAGTATTTGAGAAGAGCAATTACTCCAGTGTCAAGTGGGTGCGATATATGACGAGAGCAGGCTCATATGAAATAAGGTAAAGTATCCTCTCATATATCCACTAGGATCTACAGCGCTAACCGGCAATCCACCGTCTAGATTCTAAGGTGATTTGATTGTACGATGATGGATATTTATGGCATGTATGGCGTTGATGGATACTCGGGCAAAAGCTTTAATATCATTACACCTTTTTAATCGTTCTTCATACTCGCACGGCTCTTCTCTTACCTCTCCCTCCGACAACTGAGGTTTCAATCTTTACGAGTGTATGCAATACCACGGCTAGTATTGCCCTTGTGGTGCTTGAAATCTGCATGATGTGTCTCTGGGAGACCCTTATACTTGAGACCCAGACTGAGCTTGGTTACGTGAAGTGAAGAATTGTCTCAGGAGCTGAGAGGCTGTGGTACATCACTTTTGACAGCCTTGCTGGCGTGTTGCCTACCCCTCAAATTCATTCACGGATAGCTGCAGGTCAACATGTCAGATCCCCTCCTTAGCCGTCTATGTTGTCCAATCCGGGGACAGCAGACTCGCTCGCTCACAACCATTCTATATTTTTATTTCAAGGGCTCACGGCGCTGGTCGAGGAGATTCTCGGCTGGACATCACTCCACGTACTAACAGTGTCCACGCATGATTCGCATTTGCCTTAGTCGGTCCGAAGCGAGATCTATCAGCGAGAAGCTATCGTTGATTTATTATTCCGACGATGTCAATAGTCGGAAATAGTACCCAAGTCTAGCTGCAACTCTAGCTTCTCCAGCAGACAATTGATTGCCACAGCCGCCATGGCTTGATCAGCAAGCACGTGTGGTTCTGGATACTGTCCAATCGATAAAATCTACCTGGCTTTGTTCCTAGGAATATTACATTATCTTGAACCGAGCCCGCGCGTGTACTATCAAGTGACGCCATGAATGTTTCTTTTCCAAGTGGGGTGTGACGAAAATTTGCTTTGTATCGGCCACCCGCGTGCTTTGCTATTCTATACCGTTGCTGTGTGACTGTTTCTTGGGCTTCCACGTTTATCTTCTCTGACCTATAATTTTAGGATATACAACACACTCACAAATGGTATTAGCGAGTTACTAAAGCAATTTTCCAGCAGACATAAAGAGACGGGCTATCTGACTACAGCTATACGGAGAAGCTAGAAGCAAAAAGCAGAGCCAGCTCTATCTTTTTAGACACCATACAAGAGCTGAACATTTGGCAGCATGTTTTGTGTTGCACCAATCCATCCATCGCGGCACGTGCTGGTTCCGAAGCCGAACGATGAAAATGTCAAGTTAAACTTCCTTCAGTCATCAGTTACAAACTCCACTATCGACAATGTTCGCCTCTCTTCTTGCTCTATCCACCTATTGTTCCTCTTTTGTGGCGTTGGGCGATCCAAACTTGGCCATAAACCCGAAGCAGTATGCAGTCAAAGCCACGGGTGTCTCATCCAGCCATGCAAGGTTTGTTGCCGCGGCGCTTCCTATATCGCACATGAACTCTATCAGCCTAGACAGTATCACGACGGAGTCGTGGGTCTCTTTCGTATGTGGTCCGACGGCGTCGAATATCGGATCTTCCCACACGCGGTTTTGGTAGCACCTGCAACTTTCTACGAGAGCTTCACGCGTTACCGATCTGCTGTAACCTACACAAAGGCACTTTGAACGACCATCTAGATATGTTTACAACTTCATTTGTTCAAACAGCTCTGATACATCTCTGAAGAGTCTCTTGTGCTCTAAGCACGCACTATGACACCATCGAGATATCTTACATGTACCAGACACCACAAGTCTCGTTGTAGCCTGCCACCAGGTCAATAAGCACGAAGAAATCACTTCATATGGGCTATAACCCCATAGAAACTTTCCTCAACCACTCCTCTTGCAGTCATGTATGCTTACATTAGATCCGAGAGCAAAGTGTCTTACTCCCTGTGCTTCCCCGTTTTTATGCCAAGGCAAACGATTTTAACGATGTATGATCACCGCCATCATCGCCAATAAGTGCGGAGACAGCATTCCTTCACGAGAGTGGTAAATACCCGCTTTTGTGGGAAGAAAATTTACGATGGCTCCACGAATTGGTCTGCTATGGCGACTCTAATACGAGCGGGCGTCCCGACTAGTTAGCGAGGACCGAGGATAAAGTCGTTGACAGTTGATCGAGCAGCAGAGGCAAGCAATGATGCATTGTCGTTGGTGAGGTATATAAACGAAGTCGGATTCCTCTTCATCATGACATTCGTCAGCATAATAACAGACCAGAACAAACATCATAACACTCAGCTAACAATACTGTACCTGATAGATATCAACGCTCTCTATCTTCAGAACTCTTTGCTTTCTCGTTGCCTTGCATGGCATATCATTCGACTTACCAAGCTCAAACTCGATAATACTAAGACGTGTCATCAGCTTTTGCCAAGGAGGTTTCTTTCTTTGACCCTATTATTGAATTCTATAAGGGCGTGGCTAAGAGAGGGAGAAAAACTGTGACAGCCAGAAACATACTCTGGCTGCAGCATACCATGACAGTGCAGGAAAGGAGATTGATATCTAGTTTGCGAGCATCTATCCCAGGCCTCTCCCTTCAAGCCCCCGAGCACTCTCTGAGGTTGACATCTCCATACGGAGACTTTTGATAAGCACTCGGGGCAGACGCTTTCCTACCATCAACCTCTCATACCCCTTGCTCTCAACCCACCTCAACGCAAGGAGACATAAATCAAGGTCATCAAAGCTAATAAGCCACATTATCTTCTGTCCTACAAGACCGCCAATTATCTTAGGCCGCGTCACCACATTATCGTCTATTCCAAGAGCCATCCGGGTGCGGACCAAGAAAATAGGCATCCTGCCGAGACAGACGCCTCAAATTCCTGCAACACCCCCATTTCCGAAGCCGTCGTCGGGCTCGGGCATCACAAGAAGTCTCGGCCAACCGCCCTCCTACTCCTCTGGAGTGAGACTTGAAGAGGGAGAGAGAAAGAAATACAAATACTGCAAGGCAAATATAGGAAGCATGTGCCAGTACTCGTACATCCACTACCACCACCAATACCCCTGTACACACCCATCAAGCCTCGTCC